AAACCGAATGCAGGATTGTCATGACTGTCGAAAGCGGGTTACTTGTGAAACATCTATGCTGCACCCATATGTGTCAAAAGCCATCAGTTAAGTGACCCTAGAACAACTAAGGACAGCGCAGGTCGGTTGTGCCCAACATAAGCTCGAGATCGCGCAGTGGTTAAGGCGTGAGCTTACCAATCGTGTTTCGAACCCAACCCCGGGCCTGTCGACTGTCTTTGTCTAGGCCCGAGTAACATGGCTATCTCAGCCCTCGTGCTTCTTTCAGGTAGCGTGGCAGCTATGCATTGAAAGGGTCGTACAGCTAAAAGACTGTTGTCACTTTTATTAAAATACGTGCATAAAGCTCAAATTTTGACTCAGAACTTGTTGTTAATGGTCACTGTTACACACACAGTAAATTCGTATTTTTGTCTTGTCTTTGCTTTGACATGCCTGTCATAAGAGTTATCTCAATTGAGACCGAATGATACTGATTGCTATGGAACGGAATGTTGCTCTGGCTCTGTGCTCTGTGCTATAGCGTTGTTCTGACCCGTTTGGTTGCAAACAATTCGTCACCAACCGAGCTTAGTGAGCTGATGATGCGTCTTTCCCCGTACCGACGCACCGCCGGCTCACCACTCAGTGATGATGTCACCTAGATTGGTAACAGAACGTTTGCGCCCGAATTGTCCGGCTCGGTGAACAGGACAACGAACGATCCTACTATAACGTGCAGACGACTCGCACGGTTTCATATTCGTCGTTCGGTTAAACCGTAGTGCACTTCGAGATTCCTGCTGTCTGCACGCTATCCGTATGCTGACAGTTGTACTGAGAATAAATACTGCACAGCCTGTTCACATCGCAGCAGCCCCTGAATGCGGTGGTGGCGCATGGACTGCGCAATTCTTTGCCACCAGGTCCAACTGAAACGAGTGGAACCGACATGCTCCGTCTTCGATCCTTGTTCTGGGCCTGTTGGTGATACAAAAATACGGGTATTGGCCGACCGGCTGAAGACATTCCTAGCCAAGACCTCGGTATTGTTGAATTCCCCTCATCTTCCTCTGTTAGCTTACCTCTATCAGGACTTTGTCACTTCAAGAATCATTTCGTAAGGTGAAATCCACAGCTAGACAAATTTTGGTCGAAATTTTGAAAGTTGATTGCTTTTATATTTTGTAATGCACTACTCATAAGGTTGCTGAAAACTCCACGACAGCCCACGACCGGTTTCGCCCTTCTGCTCTAGGCTCATCAGGTAGGCACAGTCCTCGAGTTTCCGTCAACCTTATGTTCTACTTGAAGCCGAATTGCACGAAGTTAGCAATATGCACTCATTTGCAAACAAATTTGGTTTTTCGAGAGACTCACCTGGAACCCAGCTGAATCTCTCGGTTTTGATGTTTCCAGGCAACTGGTTGATTGATTGCTTTTAATTAAAACTGCAAATTGTCGCTCATAGTGGGTCACTGCGGTTGGATGTATATTTGGATCTGTGTGGCTGTTTAAACGAGCCAGATCCAACAAGCCTACGATTTTCGAAAACCAAAGAAAGCTGTTTCAGGTTTGACCCATCCATGGCGTGCGGTTCCTCGACCCGTATCATCAGGACTTTTACTCGGCCGGACCACACAGGTACACATTACTCAAGATTCAACATCTTTCAGTTCAGAGGTGGCATTCCAAACGTTCGAGGACGTTCAACACTGACGAGATATAGTAAGAGTTGAACTCGAATCCAGTGCTTCCTTCTCAACTGTGGGCTTGTCCGAGTCAGCGCGCTTTTCACACTCATCCGACGGGTCAGGACGAAAACACTTAGATACCACCGATACTGGCCAGTTCTGGGGCATCGACAACCTGCGTACCCTCCTGGCACTGAGTCGAATGTATGCCTTTCATTTGGCAAATCTTTCTTCGCTGAAACAGACGATTTTGATTGGCCTGTGTAGTAAAGTATCCCAAACTTGTCACCACCTATATAGCCTCTATCTCTTACAGATGTCGAGTTTTCCAAGAACCAACCGGACATGCGTTCGTAGTTGTTTTTGTCTGCTCTTGCTTTGGTGCTATTTCAGCTCTCCTAAGTAATTGTCAACTTCTTCAGTATCAGTGTTGTTTGTTTGAAACCTGGTCGTCTAACGTCCGTTTTCTTCGTCATCGTTCTTTCAAGCCCCGGTCGCGCTGGTTTATTTGCTTTGGGCTGTGCCGGTACCGGTTTGATCACCCTCTGTCTGGGGACCAACCCTCTAGTTGTTTGGTTAGCTGCCGGGAATATGCTCCTCTACACCACGTTGTACACACCACTGAAGCAGTTCAGCCAGGCCAACACGTGGATTGGTGCGCTGGTTGGAGGAGTGCCACCGTTGATGGGCTGGGCCGCTGCCACTGGAGAGATTCATTCTGGTAAGTTCCTGCTTATTCTCTCGCTTTCCATGCCATATACCCGGCTCTTCAATATACCCTGTGTGTGAAAATGACGGTTGAAATTTAAGCCTTTCTCCGGGAACAATTTACACACAGACCACCAGTAATTTTGCCTCATGTGGACGGAACTACACTCGATCGTAAGGTTCGTTCATTTGTGCCCGGCTCACCTGTAGCAGTTAAGTCGGTTCTCGGGATCGGAGTGTGAATGAATACAAATGGTATATAATATGGTGAATGTTTGGTTGAATCCCGAAAAGTCTGTCTGCCCTTCCCTCATCCTAAGTGGGATTGAACAGGTGGAGGTCAAGTAATCGGATACATGAGCCGTGAAAACCGCACACTCTACAAGTCCCACAGTATAAAGCCTTTCCTCCTCATTTAGGCTACTTGGGGTAGATGCAGAGGATGCGATCGGCTGTAACACCCTTCCGGTGCCTAGCTGCCATGCTACCCAGAGGAAGCATGAGGGCTGGGATACTGTCAGGTTGCCCAAGCCTAGACAGGGGAAGTCGAATGGCGGAGGTCGGATTCGAACCACGGACCTTCCGGCCAGTAAATTCGCGCTCTTACCACTTGGGCCATCTTGCCCCCAGATGCAGGGGGTCGGCTCAATAACCATTTACCGGAACAGATATTGTTTGAATGCTTCATCTGTTTTCCGCATGCAGTCGCGATGGCGTGACTGATACTCACTGATTATTTTTGACAAGCGTGTGTAAGTCTACAGGGAGCTCTCGCCAAGGTTGACTACATCAAGTGCTGTCAGGAAAGCCTGTCCTGTTTCACGTTTTCCCTTCAACTTAGTCACTGATATGACTATAGATGACTCATTACCAGCCTCCGGGGTCGAAATGTTTCCAGGGTATTCGCCCACAGATATCCGGTACGCACATGCAACAACACTTCTTGGATCTGACACCACCGTGGATGCTAACAATATTAATTAATCTAAGTAATCTTGCCTCATTGTTTGGCATACGCTTCACACCTGCTGTTGCAAGATTGGGTGGGCTCGAACCCTAACCTCGTGCTCGCGGATGAGCCGATTGAGGTAGCAGTCAAATTTGTCTACCTGGGCAGTTGATCAGTCCCGTTGGTCTCAACAAAGACAATATTTCCATCCGGATTGGAAAGGCTGCTTTGGAAAGCAGCTTTCGTGAATCTACATCACCTTTGTCATAGGTCTGACGGCTTGTCCGTCAAAGTCGAGTTTACAATGCTGAGGTGCGCTCCATATTACCATACGGGTCATAAAGCTGGTCGGTACGCGCTGAGGATGTCAGTACACTCTATCTGACCATCGATGTTTCCGGAGCACCGCACGTGCCTGGATCAGTGATGATGAACTACGTCGGATGGTTTTCGGAAGAAATAACTTGTCCACGATAGGTGAGCTGATCACACTCCATAAGTTGCGCTGTCTTAGTCACGTCCTCCGTGTGTTAGTCGACCGACTTCCTCGAAGCGCTCTTTTCGCATAACGACGCGAAGGGTGGAAAGTAGCCAGGGGAGGTCAAACAGTGAGTTGGTAGTGAAGTATGAAAGCCATTAGGAAAAAACTCGGCGGCGCTGGTCGTTGCTGTCTTCCGGGATGTAGATCACCAGACAGAACACATCAATGTCTTCGGAGCATTGCCCGAATCTGGTGGGAACACCGGATCAGCAATTCTGAAGTACGTCGAATGGTATTCGGGAGAAATAACTCACCCTCGATAGATGAACCGATCACACTGCACAGGTTGCGCTGGCTTGGCCACGTGCTGCGTATGCCAGTCGACTGAATTCCTCGAAGGGCTCTTTTCGCACAACCACGTGAAGGGTGGAAGAGATCCAGAGGCGGTCAAACAATGAGTTGGCAGCGAAGTGTGAAAGTCATTACCGGCAAACTCGGCTGCGCTGCTACCTACCCCCTCTCCAACTCATCGGTGAACAAAACTGCGGCAGCTAGAACCACTGTACGACGAGTACGCGGTTCTTACAGCTGACAATGATGATGACACATCAACAGTTAGAGACATTGTCAAACATGGCCCAGTCGCGCCCTCAATGGTGCTCGTGCATCCAAGCTGTTGTCTTCAATTCATCGCTCCGCTCCCAACCTCCCCAGTGAAAAATCCACTGACATCCCTGTATTTACGCCTCAGTTATGTCAGCTGCCACCGGCAATAGGCAGCCCTCTACCGCACATCCTCAAATCACCGATGAACGAGACTGTAGCAGCTATAACCACTGTAAGACAAGTACGCGGTTTTTACACCTGATGATAGTGGTGATATTGGGAAACCATGTAATTCGATGTTGTCCGAAGCAAAGTGGAAATTAGGTGTATTTGTCGTCTGGTGTCAATGTTCTCGTCCCAGTTGGATCCAACTGTGGATGTCGCCGTGACCGCTCACGAACAGAGGTCGCTCCGCAGGAGGAGTCACTTTTGGTTGATCCTTACGAGGCGTCTCTCGATTTTGTGGACCTTGGACCGATTATCACTCAGATTGAACCATATTTCATTAAAAACCTTCAGATGAGATCAAAATTTACACCCGCTTCATCTTTCTGACACGCAACCGGGTTCCATTTTGTCTTAAATGGGGCGTCGATTGCACTTTCTCGGCACTCCTTCCGCTCTCCCTCAGTTCTGTGTTGCAATACAAATTGTGGACGAATCAATAAGATTGCGTTAGCGGATCTCAAATACACTCCCAAGACTAGATAAACCTAAGCAGGTAGAAGGAGAATGTTCGCTCAACTTCACACTGATGGTCTTCTTGGTTGTTGACGAAACGCTTGCGAGCTAATTGCCAACCTCGGCAAGCTGATCAAGCACCAGTAGGTTTACGTGTATACTTTGAGAAGTATACTTCACAGCACTTGAGTGCGCGCTGATTTGGACCCACGACAAATCGATTGTTCTGTGATACATCTGTTTTTACCGGAATTCATCGTACTGATACGATGCCTCACTGAACATGATCGACTTGATTCGAACAGGATCTTTGAACACTCCCAGCTGAGGGCATACTCCTGTTGTCAGAGTGATCGGCCAACATTCTTACACAGTACTGCGAATAAAACTGGGGGTTTGAGGTGTAGAGTATCATTATTTCGCCCACCAAACCCTCCGACACGAAGAGACTGGACCTTACCGTGGCGTGGCGGTTTGTGTACCTCGGCGACCCATTGAGCTATACTGTGGAGTGTCCGCACGATGCTCACAGAGGTCCGACGAACACATTCTCCTGGCCCTCCAGGTTGGGGGTTGGAACATGTATGGCGACGTGTTCCGTAAAAAAATGGTAATGTACTTGCATTTCCAGCCGAACACCGCTGCCTTGCGGTTAGGCTTTTGAGCCAAAGGCTTTGGATGAGGACCCTAATCATCTTCCTGTCTAGATGTGGGCGCCCTGGCAGTATCCCAGCCCACGTACAACCATGAACTGCACATACGCAAATAAATTCATGCCACATCGGCCGTCGCGTGGTGACATCAGCCGGGTCGCCTTACTTGCTGCATACAGCAGGGCGGGTAAGCGAAAAC